CAGGGAGACGCGGAGAAAGCCCCGGAGTACACGGGTGGCGGGACCACGAGGTCCCTCAGTCCGTGTCCTCTGGGGGAGCCCCGTTCGTAACTGCGGATCCGACGTAAGTCGGAGCCACGTAAGTCGGGGACTGCCTGTAACTAGTAACTGCTCAAGAAAAGAAAGAGTTAATACCTTTACAGCAGATGCAGTCATATATTGTAGAAAAAGTTAAAAGTACCAGATAAATCTGAGATTTATTTGAAGTACTTTAGACTTCTAGAGACACTCGTTTATACAGAATTTCACAAGGAACATATGGGGGTAAGGGAGTATTTGTACTGATGCAAGCAGGATCCAAAATAGCCAAGTCCAAGCAGCCCTTGCTGAAGCTAAAACAGTGAGTTATGCTAGCAGTTATGTTCTGAGAAACAAAACAAGAAAGTCAGACAGGACTGAATACATTATAATACTAATTATGTGATACTGGAAAACTATTTTAAATGCTTTAATCTATTACACATGTTACTTCTAAGTTAAAAGGGTCAGAAGAATTGAAGTAGCCAAAACAAAGAAAAAGAAAGCAAGCCAGACAGTTATAAAGATCAGAAGTGACTTTATTGTTAGCTAATATAACTTCTAGATAATTTTGTATTTATACTAAGTTGTATAACTTTCAACTGTATTTCCCAGAATACTTTGTCTTCATGTCAAAGTTTTTATTGCAGAATGTTAGTTAAATTGTTCCAACCTTTCTTTGGAAGCGGTCAGAAGATAGATGTGTGTTCTGTTAAGGAATGTTATCTAAGAATTGTGTGGAAGCTCAAAGCAATTCATGCCTCTACTGCTCGTTTACTGCCATGCAGAATGGCACTGTAATCAAACTAAGAAAATGTGGTGAGGTTATCATTATCAACAGGGCTCGACAAATTATACAATCTACTCGCCCGTGGCGAGTAGATTGTAACCCGTAAGAGCCGGGTTCCGACTACAATCTACTCGCCCGTGGCGAGTAGATTGTAACCCATAAGAGCCGGGTTCCGATGATCTGCGCAAGCGCAGATCGCAGGACAGCATGGCTGGCAAGTGGGGCTCACCACGGTTCGGCGAGCCCTGATCATCAATGTTCCCTCTAATTTTTCTATCCATGTGCAGAATAAATTTTATGTGCACAAAGGCAGGTAGGGATGTGCACCACCAGTAGAAACACATGCTGTCAGCT